TCTTAGACCTCTCCATAACCTGTGACCCAGTATAACTTCTTAAAGACCAGGATGAGCTACCAGGGCTCTAACTAACAACTCAAAGAGATAATATCCCTCACATTTCTTTAGATAATAAAAACTTTGGTAATTACTTTATTTAAGGTAGTAGAGACAGAAACCATTTTCAGCATTTAAGAGGAAAAAATTCTTAGAAAATGCTAAGTACAAGGATAGAGTTTACTATCTATTGACTCCAACTCTATATTTGGCTACTCACAGCCAGTTGAGTCGGATGTTCATTGGTTCTTCCCTTTGTTCTGCTCAGGCCCTCAGGCATATGATTTTATTGTTTTTTTGGTACCGGGGATTGAACTTGGGACCTTGCGCTTGTGACGCAGGCGCCGAAACCACTGAGCTAAACCTCCAGCCCCCAGGCATATGATTTTTAAATTACCTGAATTTTTGTTAGAATAAATAGTCAGGGAGTCTAAATTTAAAAGACAAGAGAGGAGGCCCATATGTTCCCTGAAAGGGAGGCTTTACCTTTTATCTATAAGGGTGAGATTCCCTAGTGTCTATGAGGACAGTTGCAAAAGAAAATGGCAGACAAACATGGCTGAACCACATGACTGACTGACATGACAAATGAAAATGGCTACCAAACATGGCAAAATCATGTGGCTGGTCCACATGATGAACCAAAACGGATGACAAATATGGCAGAACCATGTGGCTGGCCCAGGTGATGAACCAAAATGGCTGCCAAACATGGCTGAAAGGTAAGCTGAATTGGCTCTCTGAGGTCCTATGTAATTGGACCCTGAGAAAGTGACTCACTAAAGATATCCAAAGATTAAAGGCCATCTAGGGGAAAGGCACAGATGAGGCTCTGAAGACAAAAAGGGGCTGGCTGGAATAGGCAGCTACTCAAGCAGGAGACCAAGTTATCAATAGCTGTATCTCCCAAAAGAGTAAGAAAGCTGAACAAAGTATGGGGGAAAACAAAAAAGTGGGGGAAAAAAGGCGTATTAAACTCTAGGACACACATATGGAACCTGAACAGTTTGCAAAAGCCCTCTTGGGCCAATCAGAGCCTAAAATGGTCTTCTGTTCTCCAAGCAGGTCAGGGAAAGACAGCTTGGCAGCCCCCAACTGACTTTCACTCACTCCTAGTGAGTGAAGCTGGTTGGGAAAATACAGAGGACATGTACTTTCCTTCCTCCTTCCCATATGGTGGGATATGCTCAGAAACTGTTCCAGAGAAGCAAGAAAACTTCCAGACCTCCCCAGCTTCAATTAATTTTTCCCAACCCCCAACTCTGTGTCTTTCCTCAACAATCAACATCAGAGAAAATGTAAAATATTTGAAGAAGGAAAACAAAAAAGTGAAGCAGTGAATTCCTTCTTGGCCTGAACCCTCAGACGAGAGAGAGAGAGAGAGAGAGAGAGAGAGAGAGAGAGAGAGAGAGAGAGAGAGAGAGAGAGAGAGAGAGAGATATTTTTGCCCAAAGGGCCTTACCTTCTGGTTGGCTTGCCAAAAATTGTTACTGGGGTTCATGGATTCTGTGGGCTTCTTCTAGAGATCCTTTTCAGTTTCTTATCCTGAACAAAGACAGGACAGGAACAAAAGGTAGCCAAGTTTTAATTTAATGAAGGTAGGAAAAGAAGTATGCTTTGCTAAGAGTGTGGGACAATTAAAGGTAGGAAAAGACGTATGCTCAGCAGAGTAAGAGTGGAGTGCTGTCAAAGAGAGCACAGTGACCACGAATTTAATGGTGACTATTTTATTCTCTATCCTGACATCAGATCTGGGTTGCCCTACTAAAAACCTGCTCGATTTTGTGCCAGAAGTATTGGAGAAAGCAGTGGAAGGGTTTGGGTTTATGTGTCCTGGATTTCTGATTGACAGGTCATGACCATTTGCCCAGCCAGCTGGTCATGCCCTAATCTTCTGCCTTAGTTCTAATAGGTGTATTTCATTATTGTTTTAATTTGAAATTTCTTGTTGACATATGATGTTGAATGTATTCATATGCTTATTTACCTTCTGTATATTATCTTCAGTGAGGTGTCTTTCAGTGAGGTGCCTGTTTTTTTAATGAAATTGTTCATTTCTTATTGTTTAGTTTTAAAAGTTATTTGTATGTTTTATATTACTATCAATACAGAACACCACTGAAAGAATTTCTAAACAGTAAGCAGCAGAAGAAAAATGAAATAGAAGGAATATGTTTATAGCAAGTATGCAAATAAATAGAAGTAAATAGTAGAGATCAATGAATTCTCAATTAATTTGGTAATTATTGCAACTTTTACATTGTATTTATTGTCTTCAAACTCCTTCTAGATATTGAATTAGAGTTTGGAAAATATCCCTGGATAGCACAGATTCTGTTTCAGTTTATCTTGTTGATTTTTCGCTAGGTCATTATTTTCTCTCAAGTCTTTGTGTTACTTCAGTGTTTTCTGGTTTACATTGCTCTTGATAGTGAGTCTACTGCTAATGTAATTGTGATGTAATTATCATTAATGGCTAACTCAAAAGAGTTTTTTGTGTTTGTTACTTTTCAGTTTTACTATAAGGTTTCTTTTAAATTACTTTTTACTACTTATGCTTGCTATAAATTAGGATTTATATTTTTTAATCATTTTCATGAGTTCTTAATCATCTAATTTAAAAAATTGCTTTCATCTTCTTTCTAATTTTTTTCTTTTGGAGCTCATACTGAATGGGAAAATGGGCCCTATGCTTTGATTTTCTATCTTAGATTATTTATTTATTTAATTATTTTTGATATCTGTTTCTCTCAACACCTTCACATTTATTTACACATTACAGTTTCTCCTTTAAATTGTGTCTAAT